GTCTCTGTATGGTAGTTTCATCTCTCTCTTTTCTGTCTAGGGCACTGTCCACGGCGAAGGCCGCTATACCTTCCGTTTCGACTATACCAGGCCGACGTCGTCGCCGTGCGCTCGGTGAAGGCATGTCCGAGGCTCCAATGCCAGATAAACCCTCAACCCCTAGGACTACCATATCACGTAATGAATCCCCCACTACTAGCCCTTCCCCTCGCCAGGAAACACCTTCACCACAAATCCGAGCGGCTTCTATACCTTCTTCTCCAGGTGAATCTTCCGTTAATAATGATTATGATCCTACGTCAATAGACGGGTCTCCACCTCCGGAGTCCCCGAAACGGCGGCGTTCTCCTTCTCCAGTCCCAGAACCGGAGAGGAAGAAGAAGAAGTCCCGGAAGTCAAGGAAATCCACGGCCACTGCAGATAATGATGGTCATGCTGACCGTTAGATTGCAGTTGAAACCGAGACCGACGACACGTCTAAGAGGCGTAAGCGCCGTTAGCGTGGTTGGGATATGTATAGGGTATTCATTGCGTGTATGTAGACTTACGTTGATCCTTATCATGGTATGTAGCTATAGGTCTTTGCTCATCATTAAGGCGTCGGGATTCCTATTCCCAATGAATTAACGCCGAGTAGCATGTAATGTAGCCAACTGCAGAACAATATGCTTACATTACCCTCTATACTTTTAAAAAAAACCGACATTTGACCTATGCCTACCTTTTGTTCATTGACATGTATCTGTGCTATATACAAATTGACTGGGTTACACAATTACCTTCTTAAGAAGACGGAGGATATACCTGATATTGCATGTACAAGGGCTATGAAGTCCCTATAGAATTAGGTCTCCAAGCTCCAAAAGAGAAGACTATTATGGATAGACCATGAGAAAGGAGATAACTTACTAAAAATAGCAGAATTGTGGTTGTTCTTTCTCTAATATATGTTGTTAGCTTAATTTTCCATGTACAAGGGCTTAGCAAGGGAGGGAGGCCGCGCTATGCGCGGCCCAAAACCTTGTTCTTAGCTATTACCCAACGCCAGTACGCTCTAGCCTACCCAGCAAGATCTAAAAGACCGAGGGCCTTGTTTGAGTTTATGTGAATCGCACCAGAAGGCTTTCACCCGGATACGTGCGTGCTGGTTGCTAGCTTTGTCCTCTTCAAATCACAAGGTAACACTTACCTGCCAGAGACTAGTTATTCAGAACTGCAAGGAAGCATTCAATGCTAAGCTAGAAGAGTGACTTACTCCAAAGTGGGAGTATGGAGTATCATAGATGCGGATGTTGCAGTGGAAAGGCAAGTAAGAAGACCTCTCTCCACTACAGGGAGATGAGCCTTTAAGAAAACACATCGGTTGGTTGAAAAGCACCCGCTCTTGAAATGATCCGGACTTGAGTTAATGAGACTCCCAGAGAAATCGCATAAAAGACAACGAATCAGGCATCTGCTCAAGGTACCATATTATGTGTCGTAGTGCTGTCAGATACCAGCTGCGAGTAGTATTTATAGAAGAGTATTGCAGATTGCATATTTGACACCAACCTATGAATGCAGTCAACAGGTTTAGTAGACATACATTGGAAGTAAACATGTATATACGCATGAATGCACGTATGTAGGTAGGTATCAAAGCCACGCTTCCAAGTTTTTATCCGGACAATCAAACTCTGTTTGCTCCCTCTCATCCCTCCACATCTTCTCTCCATCCTCTGCCTCTCTTCCTTCCAACCCTTGGTTTTCCCCATTTACCATTTGTTTAACCCAATATGGTTTCTTCTACCTCTGTCTCTGACAAGAAGGGTTTTGAGTCTACAGCTCCACTGTTAGCAAAGCTCTCGTTCAACAAAATTTTCTCGTCAGCTGAAGGCATTCGTTGTCAGAAAAAAGGTTTATACATCCTGTGTCTGTGGAGATCTTGTTCCGATTGATACAAAATCTGCAGCTTGGTTCCACATTCTCCCAAACCATCTCCGTGTCTCCGCCAGTGAGAATCTTCCGGCGTACATTTGGCGACAATATCCCGCGGTTATGTTGTTGACTCTACGGCTTGACTCGAACGCTGACTGCAAATCTACATCCGATGATTTGCATCGGTTAGTGGTAGATTGCGATCCTGCAAGCTTTGGCAGAAGGCAGGAAGGTGTTATATAGATCCTCAGTATCGGAAATCTGGAAAACCTGAGCCCCGAAATTTCTTCTACCAGCTTTCCTTCATCAGACTTTGGAATCATTCAAATGTGGAGCAAACTCTCCTTCCAAGCTGCAACACAGTGTCTCAAAACTCCTTACCCTTCCGGAAGTTGAAAGCTGAGTTGTACAAATTGAATGTACACAAACCAAAAAACATCTTCTGCGACAAATTTTAATGAGCTTGTTAACGATAGGTTTACTCGGGACCATCTAACCTTTCCAGCAGTATATTGACAAGCCACGATCCCAGAGTCAGATCGGTTCGCTGGTTGTTTGCCTACCCTCTCAGTTCAAAGGGGCAACTTGGTCGTTCAGCACGAGGGAAAACAGGTCGTGTTCAACTAGGGTCACCATACGTCTGCAAATCAATGGGCAGTACTCTATAGTGACTACGAGCACGAGATTGAAACAATCACGGACGGTGAACGTATCAGCTTGACAGATAACCTCTATGGAACCGAGCCAGTAGGAGGATCGATTCCGCCAAGCTTGATTGTTGACCCAAGGAGCTTATCGCTGTATAGCTTCTTGAAAGAACTTATCACAGAGTCTAGCTTTTTGAAAGAGGTTGTTTTTGCTATGCACCGTTGTTTCAACCTAGGATGCCAAGCTAACTCTCCCTAGGTGGCGCTTTTGGGTTCTATTGCTTTCACGCTTATCCCTATACATCCGAAGAGGCTCCAACGCTACTTCCTAGGGCACTCAACGGTGCTGACCTTGTCTTGTATTCCGTTTTCAAACCCCTTGGCATATATATTGATGTTGTTCCCGTGATTCTAGAAGATGACTACAAAAAAATGACTCTAGTTTATCCGAGAAAGAAGGGGGTGAGCAACCCAACCGAAGGGAAACAATCCGAAGTTTCCCCTCCAAACTCGCATTTATAGTATTGTAGCGCTGCTAAGCATCAATACTTATTTCGTACCAAGTGAAGGGTCCAAAGGATTTCAGCATGTTAAAATAGCTAAAATCTCAATCTGCTAACAAGTTAAGATTTGTGTTGGAGACATGCTACATTCAGACGAAGCCACTAACCATCTGGCTCAAGAAGGAGAATTAAGTATAGAAAGACTCTCAAAGTGGCCATTTAGAGGACGAATAGCTGATATGGGAAATTCCTTCCTCCAGATGCTCAAGTGGACTTGGGCGGGCAAACACAAACCAGAAGTCACATGGACCGGCTCCCCGACACACGAGAAGATACATCTGGCTTGTAGAAATCAGCCTTCGCAAAGCACAATTTATTAGTCTACAGCGATAATAGCCGAGATCCCACCATTCCTAGAGCGAAAGGGCCTTGTCGATGCGTGAGTATCGTTGAGGGTTTTACTGATCCGGAACGACTCGACTTTTCGATGAGATGACCAGCAGCTTGCTTCAAGTTTCCCTGGCTAGACTTGCTCTTCAATTGAAGTCAACTGGTCGCTTTCGTTTGCGAGATGAGGGGGGGATATCGTTTTAGGCCATCCCTGTAGGAAATGGAACAAAAATTCGCTATTTTTCCAGCCAACTGAATACATTAAATGATGTACATAGAAAGGTTAGTTTCACAAACTAATCGTCTTCTTCGCCTTTTCAAGGTCTCTCCATGAAACGAAGAAGGGCAAATAATCTCTGGGGAAAAAGATATTTGAAAAGACATCGAGACGTACCGCAAATACGTCACAAAGCTGCAAACGCAAGCGACTCTTCTTGTCGATATGAATATCTTGTGGAAGGAGTCCTCTGTAATTAATTTTCTTCCTCAATCAACAAACAAATTAATTAACAAACACACATTTGTGTAAGGGTTTTTTCCCTCCGATCATGTTTTCGTATTGAAAAGGGCGAACCCGTGGGAGCCAAGCACTACGGACTGAATCATATCAACTTTCTCCGGCCTAATTGGGTATGGCTTATCGCTGTTGAATGGATGAATTTTTTCCAAGTTTCATCGAACTTGCATGTAAAAATCCGGTAAATTTTCTTGCTCGGTTCCCGGCCTTGGCAATGGCGTAGGCTGATTCTCCGCTCTTGTCCGATTCGTCGTCTTGGAACCGGATCCACGCGTACGCGAGGCAGCCCTGATGGCCCCCGGCAGCCGAGTGCGATGGAAAAGGTCCTCAATTGGTAGCGAGTGGCTCAGGGCTTCACGATCGACATTGCCATGGAGAGGTCACGGAGCCTACAACATATGTAAATGGAGTTAGAAGCCCAAGAGAACAAGTTTCGAAGAAGGCCATAATTTGACTTTTAAGACCAGTACGGAGTACAACATACATGACCGGAGCACTCTCTACTACCCTTGTGGTAATGGGCTTATTGGGGCGACCCGAGGTTTGGGGTTGCAAAACTTGCGGTCCAAATTGTACACCGTATGAGCCATGCAGGACGTATCGGCCTATTTGGAATTGATAACAAATCGGCCTGCTATTAAACTAGGATTTCGGTTATTTTGAGATTTTGCTTGCGTCACGCTAGCAAGGGGGCCAGAGCGGAAAAGGTTCTTTTTTCAACACGAACACGGCGTAGCGTGTTTGAACTTGGAACTTTCCTAAAACGGACACATTCGGGGTATACCGCACAAGTTGTAGACGTCAACGGAAGATATCTGATGTCCACGGGTATTGTAACACAAAGAAAAAGCAACAAGACGCCTTTCCCGAGATCGACAAACTCTATTCTAACCCAAAAAAAATTGTGAAAACAGGAAAAGAAAAAAGAAAAAAAGGAAGATGGGGGGAAAGTAGAAATCAGGGCTGGCATATATGGGAGGTCGCGTGAGCAATCAAGGTCGGGGAGCAGAGATGAGCTGGGGCATAAGCCAGCGAAGCTATGTCTTAGTCTGAACATGAATTACATCTCAAGATTTAGGTATGTTGGAGCCCACCTGGGCGTGCTGTATAACTGAACTGGGGTTCGCATCTCCCCAAAACATCTATGTCTTTGGTTTGGGCCAGCCATCGATGTCTCCGAACCATCGCGACCGATAGATTTCATTCCCTTTCATGATCTGGTGACGCACACCATCAACCACGAGACTGGTATAGTTCCCTCGGTATAGCCGCCATAGAGACTGGGTGTATAGGAAACTTCCATCGGGGGCGAGACTGAACCCCTTGAGGTCTGATTGCGGCAACTCCACGTATTCTCCCTGGCGGGTGATCCCATGACGATCGGTGGTGGTGACCTCGAAGCCAGGCATATATTTCTCAATGACTTCGTCGTATTCCGTAGTGAAATTCATTTTATCGATATCAAAGGCATGAAGACCGATATCGTTGGAGACGAGGAATACTCGTTCATTGGGGACGGGGACGAGATCATGGGGCCCGGCCCACCAGCTGTATCCGTGTCCCCATTCCACGTCGATATCGTAATATTCGGGGAAGCGGAATCGATAGGCTTCATCTATGCCGAGTAGGCCCGTCTCGGCATCGAAGGGGTATCCTTGAATGACGCCGTGGGCCGGAACAGGATCGGAACCATCGGCCGCGGCATCGGTACCGGTCGCCCACAACATCTGACCCTGCTCATCCCAGATCAGGGCATGGATCGCCCGGAGACCTTCGATCCTTTGCAGTACGGGAGGTTCATTGACGAGGGGGAGAGCCTCGCTCATGTTGTAGACTAAAATACCATCCCAAGGTCGCTGTCCGGTGGTTCCGACCGCGAGGCGATCACCAGGCAACGGCTCGACAGTATGAGCATTGTTTAGGACATCATTCGCTCTGTTGAGGGCGAAGGTGATTCTCTTATCGGTAGCGGGCTGATCGGGGGTATGGTTGATGACGACAATAAGGGCACTGTAGATGGCAGCGACGCTTTTACCGCCTCGCATCCACTTCATCTCGGTCGCATCGTTGTAACCACTATATAAACCACTCCGAATCAGAGGAGGCAGAGGTTGAGTGACATCTTCTCGTTGCCAACTCCATTTGACAACACTGTTCCGGTCATGAATTTTCAATATGGGAGGGATCGCATAATGGCCAGTGATGATATCTTGCCAGGGACCCTGTACAGGAATGGCTAAATTATTTTCCGCCTTGAGTCTAGGTTGAGGTTCAATCAACGGGACTTGAAAGGCCGGCTCCAAAAGGAGTGAGATCCAACTGAATAAGCTCCCTAACATGATGAGCACACATATTCAAGAGAGAAAGAGAAGAAACCAGATTTTGGATTTTTGGGGATTTTTTGCTTTTGGATCGAGTCCGGAGAGCGGGGCTGTTCTTGGCTGGGCTTTTCTTGGAGGCTTGGGGGAGGACTTGGGGGAGGACTTGGGGGAGGGGGGGGGCACTTGACCATCTTTGTAGTGCAACAGAGTAGTATACTAAACCATACCAAAACATAAATCGAATGAGCGGTTAGTGATCTTTTAGTGCCATGATCAGAATCAATCCCTACTGAGCAATGTGAAATCTGGTGAAATCTGGTGAAATCTGGTGAAATCTGGTGAAATCTGGTGAAATCTGGTGAAATCCGGTGAAAGACAGTGAAAGACAGTGAAACCCTACCAAATCCTGAAAAATACTCGGAAATCCCATGAAATCCCAAGCATCAAAGGCCGTAACCCAAATGTCTCCACATCTCAGGATGTCTTGGCATTCAAAGACCCTTGGGAGTCCTTCTCCTTTTACTTCCTCCTCTTTTTTTCTTTAGGGGATGTGAAGTGTATAGTGATCTTTTCATTTCATCCATATATATCATGAAAGTCGTTCACGCTGTTCATGCTTATTTAAGCCACGGCATCCGACGTGTTCGTCAGTCTCCTGGTGAGACCCTGGATGCCGTATGGGACTTTGCTCGTCGGTATTTTTTTACTCTGGCCTTTCTTTCGTTGATTAGTGCCAAATTACTTCATATTTATGCTCATATTCACTCTCTGCCTCTTCCCCGACTTCTGTTATGGGGTAGTACCTTCCTTTTTCAAGATGTGATGATACTATTGCTGTTTCGCATTTTTGCCCAGAAGGTCGCGTGGCGACCGGGAGCCGCCCTGCTGGCAATCTTGGTTATCCCGTCTAGGCAAGTGTCCACGTGCCCCCTTTCTCAACTTCAATGCACCTTTGGATTGGATTGGATTGGATTGGAATTCTTGAATTGGATCTGGAATTGATTTCTCTAACAAATATGCTACAGTCTTATCGTCTCCTTCATGGCTGCTGCCAATACCTCCTTTTATGTCTTCACCGGTGCTGAGATCCACTGGCGCCAAGCCAAATCCTTCAATGGTGATGCCGCTGCCATTCATACCCTACTCACCGGCTTGACCGGGTTTTTGATTGTCGAAGGCATTCTTCTCACAACCTCATTGTTTGCCGCTCATGCCATTCATGCAATCACTGGAGGAATCCTACATGTCTGGGCCTGGCCTGTTCGATGGTTGTTTGCTCGTGTGCGGCCACACGTGGAGCCTCTGCTGCGGCGCTTCTGGCCATCCAAATCCCCAGCACCCGACCTTCCAGACCCTCGAAGCTATGAACGAATCACCATGGATGACAACGATGATATCAGTGATGACGAAGAAGGGTACCATCTCCTGAATACTGCGCGACTGCCCAACCGCCTGCCGGGGTCCAAGCGGGTTACCGATGGTGTGCCCCAACGGGCCCTCATCCTGGGATTGTTTGGTCTTTACCTCTTGCTCCGATTGATGCGACCGTGGGACCCAGTATACATGTACATGTCCACCACCTTGCCCTTGACTACTATCATTGATGGCGCGGAGCGTCACTCCCCCGTCGATACCACCGGCACGCCGGAGCGTTTTGATTATTTGGATCGAGTCACTGCATTGCGCCCAGCACCCCGGTGGAGCTGGATGTCTAAGGAACCGATCGCCGGTTTCGAGGATTGGGATAAATCAGATCCCCTGGCACTTCATTACAGCCCGCAAGAGGACCCATTACGCATCTCCAATCTCGACAAACCGGTGCTTGAGGACATTCATAACGCACTGGCCAGCGGCGATGTCAAGATCAAGCATGTAGTTTTCTTGAAACTTGAGAGTTCGCGCGCCGATATCTTCCCCCTGCAGAAGGACAGTTTCATGTACAAGCGTATTGCGGAAACATGGAAGGACAAGACGATTCCCCCCGAGGTTGTCGACCGCCTTGCAAATCTCACCCGTACGGCTGAGTTTTTGACCAACTTCCCTAATGGATTTGAGCACGAAAATACCCGTTTTGGCCGCAAAGCCTATGGTGGCATCAGCGCCAAGGACGCCATCACCTCGTCCACCTACACGCTCAAGAGTTTGACCGGAAGTTTCTGTGGTGTGACCCCATTGGTCGCCGACTTTAACCGCGAATTCGAACACCATATCTACCAGCCATGTCTGCCCCACGTCTTCGACATGCTCAATCAGCAACCGGATATCACTAATGAGACCAATGACTTCACCAAATGGCCATGGCATTCGACTTTTATGATGTCAGTCACCGAAATGTACGATAACCAAAATCTATTGACCCCCCACTTGGGATTCCGAGACAAACAGACCAAAGAGACCATCATCAAGCCCGAGGCCAAGCATTATCCTGTCACCAGTGCCGAGGTGAACTACTATGGCTTTCCGGAATCCGAGCTTCGGGAGTACATCCGTGATGCCATCGATGATGCGGAACGGGACCACCAGCGTCTCTTCCTCGGCCACCTCACGAGTACCACTCACCATCCGTGGGGAGTTCCGAATGACGCCTATGAAGATTTGATGGGCTCAAAATCCGGGGCTAACAACGATATGAATCGATACCTGAACTCGGTTGGTTATGTGGATGATTGGCTCTCAAATCTTATCGATATCCTAGAGGAAAAGGGAGTTGCCAATGAGACCTTGTTTGTCATGGCTGGAGATCACGGCCTTTCCCTCCCCAACGACGGCGGTATCACTCCCTATGACAACCCTCACGTCGGTAGCTTCAAAGTCCCCATCGTCATTGCACACCCTCAACTCCCTCCCGTTCAGATTGATGCCCCAGTCATCAGCACCCAGATTGTCCCTACCATCATTGACTTGTTGATCGAGTCGGCATCCCTTAGCGAGGACAGCACACGTTCTGCCCGCGACATTCGCTCGCTGTACGAAGGCCAATCCCTGATCCGACCACAGGTCGTCGAGAAGGATGGACGCGAAGCCTGGCATTTCACAGTCATGAACACCGGTGGTTCTTGGCTATCTGTTCGGTCGGCTGCCCGCCCCGAGTTCCGCCTGGTGATCCCGCTAGTCAACGACGTGGAATGGCGCTTCTCCGATGTGTCCAAGGATCCGAACGAACTCAACCCGATCGAGCGCTTCAGCCTTGCCGATCTAGCGGCCGCGCTGGAGAAGGAGTACGATAATGAAGAAGTTCTCAACTGGCTCTACAACGCATCCTATGTCGCCAACTGGTGGGTACTGGAGAACTGGGACCGATGGAGATACTCCCCAAAGGCCAAAGAAGAGGCCAAAGAAGAGGCCAAAGAAGAGGCCAAAGAAGAGGCCAAAGAAGAGAAAAGCTAAGCGTTCTAATAAGCCGACTTGGGCGCGAATCGTGATTTACATTTCATCTACCTTAATACTTGCATGCCTCATCTACCAAGTGTCTGCTTGGGATGGGCACTCTGGGTTTGCGACAATGCTGCCATGACGGGATCTGCCAGTACTGGTGGTCCCAAGCCCCGTAATCGGGAGCGAGCCGAGCACAGCTTCGGGTCCATCATGAAGCCTCGTCTTGGTCGTTTTGTTCGGAGTCAATCTCCAGAATGAGACATGGTGCGTTTCAAGACGTGAGCTCCCGACAAAAAAAGAAGTCTGGCATGTCGTCCGGAGTAGAAGCGATTCTTCTTCACATACTTGTCTAAATATCCATCCTATCTACCGCGAGCTCCTGTCCCTGATCATAACTGGATGTCAACTTTGTTTTGGTTTTCTTATTGCAAATCTCGCCCTTTCCTCTCTCGCATTGATTTTTTTTTTAAAAAAAAAAGAATACACCGCGCGCAAATGTCTTTGATATCTAAGTACTCTAGACTAACCTTGTCTAGGCTAGCGGCTGCACGTGTAAATGCATCTGTGGTTGATGGGATGGGGGTTCAAGCTTCTATTGACTTGGAGATGTCCCAGTGGTTTTTTATAAGAGCGAAATGACAAAGCAGTGAGAGTATCTATCATATGTGGGGACATGATGTACGTGATCGCAGTCAATTCTCGTGCACAATAGGCCCAAGGCGTACGAATCGATCTCTTAATGCAACAGTGAGTAGGACCTACATGGAGGGAGCATTCAGGTACTACATACATTCAGGGATATACGATTTACACTCACTCTGTCTGCGGATTTGAATTTTCAGAATCTAAATTTTTATGATGATTACCACATACTATCAACAACTTACAAGTTAGAAGTCGCGTCAGCAGAATTTCTCTGAGAGTGCACCAATGAGGGTTATCGTGTAAGACCAAGTGCCTGGGGATCGAGCCGGAAAGAACTTGAAGCGTTGACTGCTACCCTGGGGACCCATGACGTGTTGGATTATTTTCCGACTTTTAGCGTCGACGGCATACTCCGTAGACGAGTTGCTCCTGTGGGGATTTACGAGTGGAGTGATCAATTCAAAAAATACAAGATCGAACTTTGACCCAGGATCTTGGTCTTCATCTCCCAGGAGATAAACTTGATGAACATGTGTATTCAGGAAGGTTCTACTCCGTCCTCTGCGGAGTGCCATGTCCGACGAAGGCGGTAGGAGGCATAAATAGTATGAAGGACTATTGCATCGTCTTTGAAACCTGGCTTAATAATGCCCACAGGGAAAAGTCAAGTTAAGACGTGAACTTGGAGAACCATGAGAGAGATAACAATCAAGTTGAAGGTCATCTGGAAATGTGTGTGACAACGGCTTATTCATGCACGTTAAAAGTGTTGCGCCAATGATCAAGGTACACCCAACAAGTAATATGTACAGAGGGACTCGATGAGAGACCCGAAAGTAAACAAACACGAAAAGGAGGAAGCAAGAACCAAATTAGAACTGATTTCCGCCACGCCGATTAAATGCTGTAGGTCTTGACCAAAGAAAGCACCCTGCGTGTCGGGAAAACAAGGAAGACTCGAGAGTCTCATTGCTCATGTCTCATCGCTTCATGCAGACAAAGGAGAGGAAAAAGAAGAACTAAGGAAAATCGTGGGAACGCCATCCACAACCAATAGAGAAGCCTCCAGAAACAAGGGATATCCAACTCCAACTCGTGAACAGAAATCAAAAATTAGACTAGATGACGACGACATCACCTTCGGCATCTGCAGGATCAGAGACCATCATGTCACCATATTTACCAACTGCCAGCAACATGGTATCATCCTCAAGGTCAATTGCGCTGTCATCATTGTTATGGCCTTGGAAGCCCTGATCTTGGAGAGACAGTCGCTTCTCACTGGGAGGGTGTTTGAATTCCGGATGCTGACCAGGAGGATGGTTTGGGTGGTCATTGTTAGCCACAGGAGGACTTGGGTTGGGCTTTGCTTGGGAATCATTTGATGCATTAAAAGATGATGTTTCGGGAACAGACGCTTGTTTCATCTGAAAGTGGCCGAGCGATTCGGGACCAAACGTGGCATTTTGCAATGATCCAGGGGTGTTGCGCATGAAACCTCCCTTCTCTGCTTGCCAGATCATCATCTCATGGAAAAAGACCTTTGTCATCCACCACGCACTAAAGCTTGGTGCGCCAGCCAGAGTGAGTCGGTGCAACACACTATCCCACAAGGCATCGACCTTTTCAATGACACACTGCGTGCGGTGATTAGCAAAGGCAGCGGGGATGTTGAGGATAAACTGGACCCATTTGTCGGGGAAGTTGTACTCATCTCCCGGAGCACTTTCCACGGGAAATTTGTGAGCCTCAACAGAGTCCGGAGTATCAGGCTGCGTGAAGAAATGCAAGCTGGCGGAGGGATCAGTATCCGTCAATGGAGTCAAGAGCGCACGAATGTCATGCTTGAGAATTTGCTCCGTCGCTGGCTCAGCACACGTTGGAATGTTCGCCTTGGTCATCATCTCTCTAGGATTGACCATAGTCTTGAAGTCGGTCCACATTTGGTTTCGGTTATCCGGATGGCAAAGCCAGGCGGCAGCGGCATTGGCGGCCTGGTTCACATCAAGCATATGCTTGAGGAGATTGCAAAAGATATGCGCAGGGATCAAGCGCGCCAAGGAGACATGAGTTGGTTGGGTCTTGAAGGTCTCAGTGATGTGGCCGCAAAGTCGTTGTGAGATGGAATTAAAAGCGTCTAGGACTGGCTTGGGAACCACCTGAGTTGTTAGGGGCGCCACAAAAGCGATCATTTTTTGGTACATCATCCAATCACATTCCTTAATCCAGGGAGCAAGGTTGGGATGGGTCAACAGCTTCTGAACGGGAACAGTCAATGTTCCATGGAAAGCGGAGAAATACTTCATGAGGTTTCTTTCCTTGCAATATCTGAAGCTGTCGATGACCGAAATGCAATGAGAGCGATATAGGGCGGCAAGAGCTGCAGCAACTTTCAAGTCGGTGTTTGCAGGTAAGTAGGCACGAATATCGGGAAGTTGAAGGGTATCGTTATCAACCACAGTGTTCTCATCTATCGGGAACAGAAGCATCTGGTGTATCATTTTCCCAGCCTGCTGGGCTACATTCTCGCGCGTGATTGTTGCATCTGGCTCAGATGGGGTGTGTCCTTGGCAAGTGCAGTCGGCGAGAGAGGCGTTGTTCGGGAATCGAGGAGCGAAAGAAGTTGTGGGAGATGGGAACACAGCAGTGTCGGCAGTCGGTTGCTGTACGCTAGCACTAGTCATTTGTCAGCGTGAGCGAATAAAGATCGATATGAGTTTTATCTCACCTTCTTGAGCGCATCGCACTGGCAGCCCTGGAGGGCAAAGAAGCAGGGCCATTCGAATGATGGGCAATTTGTGGGTTGAGAGGCGCAAGCTTTTGTTGTTTTTCCTCAATCACTGACAAATCGACGTAGTGATACTTGGACTCGCCTCGAACTCCAAGACGCCGAGTCTGCACGTTGGGGAAGATGATGCGAACCAACTTTCCGAATGATGCGGGGTTCAATACTGAGACGCGCTCCGTTCCACAGTTCTCAGCGTAGCAGCAATAGACCCGGTCACGACGTACTGAACCACTGCTCTTGCGGCAATTTTCCCTCAGCCTGCGCACAGAGTTAGACCACTGGTTGCAGGACATTTGCGGCAATCTGCCTTACCAAATCATGGCGAAGACCTGCTTCACTTTCTCAGCCTTGCCCCCACCACCCTCATTCTTCATAACTTCAGCCGCCATTTGCTTGAGATTCCATCCTTCATACTGGCGAAGCAACTTTCGCAACTCATTGTCGTTTGCCACCGTCGAGCTAGCTCCTCTCTTCTTCTTAGCTCCTGGCTCAGAGATTTCTTGGTCCTCGACGATGTGGTCTGGAAAGTGGTTTTCGACACCACTATCATACATTGGCGGATATTGTGGAACAGATACACCAGACAAATTATTTGCAATTTCAGGCTGTATGGAGTGGTGAGAAAGCGGATGCCCCTGCATGGGGTGATTTGGAAAGTCCTCGGCGCGAGACATCCCGGCGTGGCTGTCTTGCATTGATTGATCCAGCGGTGCACCGTTGTGATGTGAAAGCTGATGCCCAAATCGCATCAACATATCCTCAGGGTTATTGAACATATGCTGGGCCGCTCCGACTTGCGATGGCATAAACTGCGGGAACCCGTCGAGATGCTGGTCTTGGGTTTGCTGGGTGGTACTCGAATGGATGCTCGCTGTTGATCCTCTTGACCGAGGACGGCGGCTAGCCCTAGAGAGGACCTCGGAGCGTGCTCGCACAGGGTCTGCCGTACCTGGCCGGCTTTGAGGGGCAATCTGTGTTGTCTGGGATACCGCACTGCCCTGCGAGTGGGCTCGGGCTTGCAAGCGCGTTAATATGGGGAACCAAATGACCCGCAGAGAGTTTTTTTGGAATCCTGCATTGCACTTACCGAGTTCTGGGGGCATCATGCTTTGCTTCGTTTGATTTAGTAAGTGGAGGAGCCGGTAACCAGGGCGATGACCAGTCGTGTGTCTTTCCCAACGTTTACAAAACCACACTCAAATCCAAAATTAGGCAGGCACAACCGACAACCAAAAGAAGCAATCCAACACGATGCAAGAACATTAACCAAAAATTGACGACTTGTCGCGAGCCTTGGGCTCTGAAAGGCTAGCCGCGTTGTGTGAGTCGAGGGAGGATAAACAGAAAAGGGCCCGTTCCTCTGACAACGTTGTTTTTCCCATCTAGTCACGTGTTGGCGGTCAGCATTCCTGTCAAACAAAACAACATTGTCACAATGAGCTGAGGAGTGTTTCACATTTTGAGATGAGCTTCGGGACTATTAAAAGCAAGTAGAATATTCCAATACAGTCATATCCAATGTTGAACATAAGTTACAGTCTGAATTGTGCCTACATTCTGAACTTGAGCTTAAAGGAGGTTTGTATCACGTGACACTTGTGAACAATGTCTCCTGTGGCTTTGTTTATAGAGCCTGGAAGAAACAATAAACATCTTTTGTAACATTCATCGGGTTAGTCATCGCTGGTATATACCTTTGCAGGTACATAATTTCAAAGCAACCTTGCAGGATGCCTTGGAGTCACTATCTGGGAACTCCAGGGCTCTCGGATCCAACTACGTACAAGATCTCTACTATACGGAGTGGACTTGAATACACATATAT